GTTTAAATCCTTTAAACCTCTGGTTTAAATCCTTTAAACCTCTGGTTTAAATCCTTTAAACCTCTGGTTTAAATCCTTTAAACCTCTGGTTTAAATCCTTTAAACCTCTGGTTTAAATCCTTTAAACCTCTGGTTTAAATCCTTTAAACCTCTGGTTTAAATCTTTTAAACCTCTGGTTTAAATCCTTTAAACCTCTGGTTTAAATCCTTTAAACCTCTGGTTTAAATCTTTTAAACCTCTGGTTTAAATCCTTTAAACCTCTGGTTTAAATCTTTTAAACCTCTGGTTTAAATCCTTTAAACCTCTGGTTTAAATCCTTTAAACCTCTGGTTTAAATCCTTTAAACCTCTGGTTTAAATCTTTTAAACCTCTGGTTTAAATCCTTTAAACCTCTGGTTTAAATCTTTTAAACCTCTGGTTTAAATCCTTTAAACCTCTGGTTTAAATCTTTTAAACCTCTGGTTTAAATCCTTTAAACCTCTGGTTTAAATCTTTTAAACCTCTGGTTTAAATCTTTTAAACCTCTGGTTTAAATCCTTTAAACCTCTGGTTTAAATCTTTTAAACCTCTGGGTTGGTTTTTTGACTCAAAAACAAGATTCTCACAAGTTCTAAAAAATGATATGAGTATACAATCAATTATTGAAAAGCAAACAATCTGGGTATTACAAGTGGGCAAGTTGTCATATTTTTGTTTATACCAGGTAAACAATGTTTTAAGGTGTGTAAACCTAGTTTAGAAACCTGGTTTATGTCAGCGCCGGTCTCTTGCGTGACCGAGCGTTGATGGGGTTTAATGGTCTCACTATAACTGCAAGGGCAGCCAATGGAAGAGAACCGCACCTCGACGCTAGGAAGCGGAGGGGTTAGCTCCCTGGGTTAGAGGGGACACACGCGGAATGAGCTTCGCGGTGCCGAGCTTAGAGGATGTACAACTCTCTTCTAGGCTACAGTAGTGACTTTACTGTAGTCTAGGAATGGAGGGAGATGATAAAGGGTAGATGTAGGGATGTAATAAATTGTAATAGATTATAAAAAACCCCACTCACTTAATTTAAGTAAGGATAACAGGTTTGTATGGCAATAATCTCTGGGGGGAAGAATCCTAGAGGGGAAGCCCTCCCCCTTAAGTATTGCAAGGCAGGGTTCAAACTGCCTGTTGGACCGGACAGGTCCACAGATGATCATTTTATGTATTTAAATCACAAATGATCAGAACATGTATTTAAATTAAGATTACATCAAAAGTGGAGGGAATGACATCATTTCTCTCTATGGGAAATCCATACAGAGAGGAATAAATTAATCAATTCCCAAAGTGTAGTAATCTCTCTAATTACAGAATATACTTATAGAGAAAGAAGAATAAACTTTATGTACATAAGTTAGCATCTCTGTAATAAAGGAATATTAATACAGAGGAAAATACTAAGTTATTCCACGGAATTACTTAGGAGAAAAAAATATAAAAAAGGAATGAATAAAAATACAATAGAGTGTTGAGGGGGATTGAACACAGGGTGTTGGTAAGAATTGTCTTAAGACAGTTCTTAACCACTACACTAGCCTGTTTGTACTTATATATTCACATTGTAGACACATGGGCTATAGCCTCAGTGTCTGACAGTTTAGCAGACTTTATATCAGGGAAAAACTGGTTTAAGGTGTGTCAACCTGGTTTAGCACAGTTTATACCAGGTAAACACTGGTTTAAGGTGTGTAAACCTAGTTTAGCACACTTTATACCAGGTAAACACTAGTTGGATTACTTTTTGAATATCAAGTTCCAGTTTCTGTTTGTTCATTTTATAAGTAGGATCTCCATTCTTAGTTTCATGCAGTGATTACTATGGCTTACTTCAAACAGATCAATCAAGTCCTGCATGGATTTGAGCTTCTTGAATCTTGTTTAACATTTCCAATATGACATGCTGCCTCCCCCACGTTAGGCCAGCGTAAGCAACTGTCTCCGGGTTCCAGCCAAGGTGATTCAGTAATAGGCTGGACGAGTCAGTTGTGATTGATAGTGATAATCAGATTATCTATATGTGTTCTCCCAAAAGCAAATGAAGACACAAATACAAGAATTCAATACAGACTAAATTTTGTTGCAGTGGATCACCCATGATGAGCCCTGATCACCTGATGACAAGTTGACATCGGTCTGTCCTCCTTCAACTAATAATAAGCTTGTCTTGGCTGAACCCAGCTCAAAATCTCGTATCCAGAGAAGTAATCATGCAAGAACCTGAAGTCTTTAAGATGGCCTGTCTACAAGGACGGCCGGACACAAGAGGGGCTGTGGCGAGTCCGGGTCCGGCAAAGGAGCAGGGGCTGCGAATCTGAGATGGACGAGGTTTCGGGAGTCCTCGACGACGGCTAAGGTGACCGACCCTGCGGCAGAGTCTTCTTCAAAAAGACATGGGTCCGGTACGATCGTCGATCTTTTCACCACCATATTTCAAAAAAAAAGGTATGCATATTTTAGAGTTAAAAATGGCTCAATGAATGAAGGAAGGAGAGGCTTACCAATCGTAGCCACTTATGCTTGTCCGGATCGCTAATGGAACGGTCTCTGGATGGGTGGGGTTGACAAGCTTGAGGCTCTGTGTTTCGTGATTGAAGCTGACGACCGGGATCCTTGCTTTAATTTCCCTCCCAGATACATAGGAAAATGCACAAGTCAGTCAACCAAAAAAAAAAGTCTAAGAACGGGTTAAAGATGGGGAAGTACCGAAAAGGGATGCCGTCGAATGCATTACATTGAAACAACTGATGTCTTCCCTGTCCAAGATCGACAAAAAGGCCTCGCGCTCGTAAGAACGATTGAGGGGCCCTGTTTGGGTTGGGTTGGGGTTGATCAAGGGGCCTGGTTGGTTGGGGTGTGGGCTGGGTATGGGCTGGAGCCTTGTATCGGTAGAACTACTCAAAACCACTGAAGCTGGGCTGGTCGCGGCCCAAATAAAATGATAATTGCTCCGAAGAATTCCAAAAACCACTTCCGGATTTT